CTTATTTCCCCAAAATAATCTCCTTTATTTAATAACTTTAATGAAAACTCTCTTCTTGTTAAACAAATATCTACTTAACCATTTTAGATAAAATATAATAAATTACTATCTACTTAATTTTCTTTAAAAACATATTCTTCTGGTCCTAAAAGATGTTCTTTTAAAACATATATTAATTTATTTGTTAATTAAGATGAGAATTCTTTACTTATTAAATTTACTTATTTTAAAATTCTTCCATGTAATAAAGTCAAAACTTCAGTATGTAGATTAGATGATAAATTGTTTAAAATTATCATTTAAGAATTTTTGGCTACTTAAGCAGATCCTTCTAACCATTCTAAATAATTCTTAACTCTTATTTATAATGGTTTTGGTATATTTTTCTATTTAATATATCTAATTGAATTATTATTATAATATTTACTTAATTATTTTTTAATTTTATTCTTTTATCTCAGCAATATTCTAATCCTCTCCTTATATTATGAAATTCAAACTTGACATACTGAAACCAAATATTCCTGAGGAAAGAACCATTACAATTATACCAAATATCATTTCTAAATTTGTATTTGGACTAATATCACCATATCCTACTGTTATCATTGTAGTTATGCTAAAATAAAATGCTGTTATATATTTGACTTCCCAAGGAGCATCATGAATTCCATATTATGTCATCCATGTAAGTTCTACTTATTCATCCACAAATTCTATTATATTCCATATACAAGCTATCCAATGTGCTATACATAATATCATTGCTGTTATTTTTAGGAATTATATCATAGCTTATAGAGTTTATTCTATAGAGAATGTCTCTGAAATCTATTATTATTAGATATATACCTTCTATTTTTATCAAAATTCTTCCTAATTTTAATACTCTTAATAGACGTATAATCTTCACAAATTTAAACAATCTTACAAATTTTAATATTTGTGTTGATTAATTACTATCATTTCCTATCATTAAATCAAAAGGAAGAACTGCTATCACATCTATCCAAAACCATAATTTTAGATAATTTAATGCTATATATTTTAAGCGATACTCCAATTTTCCACTTATAATATAAGATTTTTGGTTACTTTTCATAATATGCCAATCGAAAATTAAGCAGCATATCTACAACAAAAAAAATATCCATTATATCATTAATGATTTCCATCTCAATTGAACTATCAATTGAAAATGATAATGCCATTGGAATGTATATCATTTATACAAAAATAAATAACATGCTTATTGATTCCCAAATTATTCTAAAGGTAGAGGTCGGATTAGATACTTCCATTATTGTTTTTATGAATATTGAAAAAACTTCAGTCTTAGGCATTTATTATTGTTCTTCCTCTTCTCTTTATTTCAAAAAATATAAATAATCTCTTGCTTCTTTATTAGTTTCACATATGACACTGATTAATTTCCTTTAGTTTAATCGATCATTTGAATCATAGTCTTAAGCTTTATCTAACCAAAATTAAATAAGCATTACCTATCAATTTCATAAATTAACTTATAAGAATTAATAAAAAATTATTGAATATTTTTTTATATCAATAACATAAACATAATAAATTAATACATTGAACTATATCTACAAAATAAATTTAACCATTTATATTTGTATTCTCATATATTTTTTTAATTGCTTAAATATTATATTTAGATTCCTATTCTTACAACTTTATTGAGTAAATTTACATTTTTTATTCCATAATTATATCATACTCTTTCAAATAATACTATAATTATAATAATTAAACTATTATATTATAAAAGTATTATATTAATAAATATTTACAATTCTTTAAACTATTTTGATTAAATCAATAGTTAATACATATATTTTCAATGTGAAAAATGAAGTTGCTGATTATTTTTTTTTATTGATTAAGATTAATTATCCATTTTAATCATTACTATTATTAAAATTTAAAATATACTCATCTTAGGTTTTTAATAAAACCAGTTTTTTAATATTGTTGCTATTCATTCATCTTAAAATTTTACTTTAAAGTTATCAATTTCTTCGTTTTAATTATAATATTCTATTCAATATTGAATATTTCCTAATTATATTTTGCATATTTATTAAATTCCAAAACTTTATTTATTCATTTATATGATTTACAAAATTTATTTAAATAATTATAGTTATACATGAAGATTAGAATGAAATTGATTATAAAGGTATTTGATGTAATTTTGGAGAAATATTATTAGAAAATAAATTTTTAAATATATATTGATATTTCTTGAATTATAGTAAATAAGCTTTCTGAATATATATAGATTTTTAATTGATATAGAAGAATAGTAATAAAAATAATGAATTATGAATGGATATGAAAATTTAATCATTTTTTCTTATTTCCTTTCTATTCTTTCTGATTTTGCTTTTATTTTTCTTTTTCTTTAGTTTCTTTTTATTCTTTTTTTTCTTTCTATTCTTTCTATTCTTTTTTTTGATTTTTATTTTTAATTTATTAAATTCTTTATTCATCTTCATCTTCACTTTCATCATCATCTTTAGAAGCCTTAGTGACTTTTTTTGATCCTTTTTTGTGTTTTTTCTTTTCTTATTTTAATTCCTTCAAGCAAGTTTTAACTTTTTCTTCATCTAATTTATATTTCTTAAGCCAAGCTTCATAATCTTTTTTATATTAATTTTAAGCTTTTTCTTTTTCATTTTCGTATTTCTAAATTTAAATTAAATATTACCTCTTTTTTTTTTTTATCTAAATCATTCCACATTTAAGAAATAACTTAAGTTAATTCAGTCATGCTTTTCTCTTAATTTTTCTTTTTTACTTCATCGTAAACCTCACCTCTATATATCATATAAGCATTTTAAGGTTTTTTTGGCATATTTTACATGGCATCGTCTGATATATAATCCATGAATTTTAAATTTAAATTTATATAACAAAAAAAGCGCTCGTTCAAAGATTTATTGTTTAATTAATAATGTATGTTTAACTTAAACCTTATTTATATTAATGAATCAAATAAAATGAGAATTCATTCCTTTGTTTAATGATATTATTTGTATTAACACATTAAAATAATCAAATTATTGATAGAAAATGGTTTTCAATTTTTTAGATCCATTTCTATTAACCAATATATAGATATGTTAACTAATTTATGTCTCTTATTCTAATTTAATTAAAAGTAGCTAAAAAAATAATATATATAATATTAACTTGTTCCATCACAAAATGACCATCCCCATGATCTGGCTAGAGTAAATGCACAGATAATGGCTTCAAAAATTGTAACCTCCTTATACATTGCTAAACCTCCTAGACGTACAACTCTATGAAGAGTAGTAAAAATACTATCTGTATATCTTAATACTTTAGTTGGTAGATTTGCAATAATTTTGTTTTATAAAAAGTCATCTTTAATATTAGTAGAGTAGAATGTTTCTTTCTTTGATATTTATAACCTATATTAATATTTAATCATATATTACTCCTATTATTATAATTTAAATTCATTATTCTATAAAGTAAACATACTTAAATTATATCCAGTTCCAAATACAAGTTAAGTTGTTTAACCATATATACAATAACCCATAGATGTAATTTATTCTGCTGATTATTTAAAATCATTTAATGTAACTTATTTAAACATAGTAGTTTATTTTTTAAAAATAATAAATGCTGATGCTCTACATGAATCTGTACCATCAACAGCTCTAAATGCTACAATATATTTAGATTATTAATTATCTGCTTATAAAGTTTATTAATTATCTAATATATATAGAATTTGACAATATTATGTTTTAAGAAATGATTCATTTAATTATTGTATTGCTTTTTTAAGACTTGTTAATGAATATACAAATTTTGATATGATTCTCATTTATTCAACAAGATATTTAACTAATTAAGTGAAATCACCTGATGCTTCATTATGTTTTAATTGTTCTGCTTCTATAAATTTATTAAATGATTATGCATTCTCTGGTATATTGGAATAAAAATCATCAGTAAATTTTTCTAATTTTAATTTAATTTAAGCTTAATGATCATAACGACCACAATCATAGATTACAATATCAGAATGTTATTCTTATTTTAATACTTTCAATATTTATTTCATTCCTCTTATAATTTTACCAAAAGCCACCATTTTATAATCAAAATAAGGCATAGATGCTAATGTAATATAAAATTATGAATGATTTGTATGTTAAAATCCATCATTAGCAAATCCAATAATACCTTCACAATCATGTTTCAATGCATAGGATTCATCTTCAAAATATCTTCCATAAATAGATACTTTTTTATCAAACTAACCTCCTTAAATAAACCCTAAAATTTAAATTAAATTACAACCATTAGGTTTGTATTTAGTGAATTTACTTTTTTTATAAGTATAAAATTTTCCTTCAATATTGACACCTTCACAAAATTTTGTGAAATTTTCACAAGCTTTTGGTGCAAATTCATTAAATAATTCAATAATAACTGGATGAAGTTAATCATCAATTGATAATATCATTTATACATAAGCTAAAATTGATTATATATAATTACTATTCTTTCTTAAATTAAAAAAATTCAATTATGATTCATAAGCTTAACTTATCATTGTTTAAGTAAATTTAATTCTACGACTTGTATGTACTGTAGGTGTTCCATTCTATATTAATAACAATGGTCTAAATTATTTCTATTTTATAAACCTTTTCACAGTTTTAGACATAAATGAGTCATCCATAGTAAACGGTTCTTAATTACAAAGAGGTTGTAATTTCTTAATTTAAATTCTCAATGAAGCATCCCTTTTTAGCAATTTAACTTGATGATCATATTCAGACTGATAATATATATATAAATATTTTGTTACTTCATGCATTTCTTAGATCTCATAAGTCTTTTTTCGTTCTGTTAATTACAAATTTTTGAAGTGTAATAAATCAGGATTACCTGTTACGCTCATCACTTTAATTTTACTCATTTTTAATTTTATGTAATAAAATGAGATGATTTAGCTACTTTAAAAAACTGGTGATAAATTAAAGAATAGAAAATTAGAAAGAATGATAGCTGTAAATCCTTCGAATACATAATTCACATAATAATTCTTATAATAATAACTTGATAAAAGCAATACTTAAAAATAAGGAACGTTACTTACTCAAAATGAATTGAATTAAGCAATAAAAAAGTTTCAAGAATATATTACTAAAAACTAAGATAAACATACTAACAAGACTTATTAAAAATCTTAAGAAAGTGAAAATTTATAAGATAAGCAAAAAACTATAAATTTTGACACATCCTTTTCAAAAGTCTAAACAAAGCATTCACATAAATTATCTCATGGTATACCAACAATATAAAATGATAAAACATAATCATAACATATTAGACAATCTTCAGATATTGTAAGAAATGATGGAATTGTGGATAAACTCTATGATTCCCTAATGAGTAAAAATGTTGGTAATTCAAAACCTATTACACCAAAATGTGGGATCTTTCAATTTCCTTAAGTTCCAGATGATTAGTAAGAATAAGCAAATGACAACTTAGAAGAAATATATTATATTTAGAAAGTTAAATAAGCTGTATTATTATAAAATTAAAATGATTATTTTACTAGATTATATCGAAATCATTTTAAATAATTATGTTAAGAATTAAGTATTGGTATCAAATTAAAACCTGCCAATTATACAGATATTAAGAATAAGTAAGTAAAATTAGATAAATTAAATAAATATAAAAGTATTTATTTATATATATATATAAATTTAGATTCAATAACTTTAGTTTTTGATTTAGATGAAACATTAATACATTGTAATGAAAGAGATCATAAATTATATGATGCTATTTTAACTGTTAATGTTAATAAAACATAATAAGTTTAAGCTAAAATTAATGTACGACCAAATGCAATTGAAATATTAAAAAAATTATCAGATGATTTTGAATTAATAGTTTTTACTGCCTCTAATAAAATATATGCTAAAAGTGTAATTGATTATTTAGATCCAAATAATGATATATTTGCACATAGACTTTATAGAGAATCTTGTATTTTAACATCTGGTGGAATTCATGTTAAAGATCTAAGAATACTTAATAGAAATTTAGAAAGAGTAGCATTAATTGATAATTCTGCTTGCAATTTTTCATGGTAAATAGATAATGGAATACCTATAATTCCTTTCTTTGATAATCAATTAGATGATGAACTTAAACATTTATATAAGTATCTATCTGGTATGAGAGAATGTAATGATGTTAGAGAATATAATAGGTAAATTTATATTATATTTTTAGGAAACATCTTTAATTATATAAATATACAGGAAATATAAATTAATATCAAAATATAAGTAGATATATGAAATAATAAGATTTTGTGATTGAAGATAAAGATTGAATATGTCTATACTGAATTACTTTATTTATTTTTATAGAATGATTGGTAACATTAAAACAATTTCAACTAGTTTTTATTTTCTAATTCTTTTTTATTGATTAATATATCTATTTATCTATTGTTAATAATTATAAAATATATTTTCTCCATCTTTATTTTATATTGAATTATAGTATAATTAAGAGTATTAAAATTTTTGATATTGATGAGCTCGTAAAATAGAACTGTTAAATAGATTGGTCAATATCAATATAATGAAAGACATTGTTTAGGGGAAGGAGCTTATGGAAAAGTTTATTAGGGAATGGATATTAAAACTAATGAAATAGTTGGAATCAAAAAAATGGATTTAGTATTATTTGAGAGAGATACTTACCTAAGAAATTAGATTGTTAGTGAAATAGAGATTTTAAAAAAGTTTAATCATCCAAATATTGTCAGATTTATAGATCTGATTACTACTTAAAGATCTCTTTATATAATTACAGAATTTTGTAAGGATGGTGATTTAAAAGAATTTCTTCAAAAAAGAAGGTTGAATGAAAAAGAAGTAAAATATTCTTATCTATTTTTGAAAGGCTCAAGGTATCATGTTATAAATAATAAATGGATTTAAAGAATTAGTTAAATAAGGTGTTATACATAGAGATCTTAAACCAGCTAATATATTAAATCATGAAGGTATTGTTAAAATAGCAGGTAATTGTTTTATCAAAATATAGACTTTGGATTTGCTAAATATGTAGATAATTATACATCCTAATTATTAAGATCATGTGTTGGCTCTCCTTTATATATGGCACCTTAAATATTGTAAAGGAAAAGTTATTCAACTAAATGTGATATTTGGTCTATTGGTGTTATATTTTATGAGATGGTCTTTCATGATGTACCTTGGAAGGGAAGAGATGAATAGGATTTACTTAAGAATATATTAATTAAACCATTAGTTTTTAAAGGGAATTAAGCAATCACTGATTTTACTAGAGATTTTTTGACAAAGGCTTTGATTGTAGAAGAAACTGAAAGAATTTCATGGGATCAAGTCTTTTAAATGTTTGAAAGTATGGAAAAAGGATTAGTTTCAAATAATCCAACATTATAAAAACTGTATAATGATTAAAATTTAAGTTGGATGTAGAAATAATAATAAAAAATGACAGGAGATCAATTGGTTAAGTAATTATTGTTTTTATAACAAATGAAATAAAATATAGCATTTAGACATTTTGTTAATTTAGAGTTGTATTAAAAATTAGATTAATTGAAGTTATTATTTAGAAGAGATTAATCATTAGAAGAATGCATAGTTATTCTATCAAGACTTGTTCTAGCATATAGCAATTTATTGATATAATTGGTTGAAGAAACTTGTGATTCTGGTGAAGACATTCTAATGAAGGGAACTAAGTGGAATATCTTAAATTTCATTAAAAACGAATAAGAATATTATAAAATATTTTTTACTAATTGTAAAGAACAATTTTTTAAAGAAATCCAATATGAAGTTGAATTATCTGATTCTGATAGAAATAAATTAGAAGATACTTTTACAACAAAAATTATTAAATTGATTGGAGATATTTTAGATGATCTTAAAAAGAAGACATCTGAAGGAATATTGTATTAAAAATTTGTTATTGTTTTAGTTAAGATAGTTTGATTGCTATTGAATTTTTGTTGGATTAATAAATTACTCATAAAAATATTGTTAAAACAACTGATTTAGACTTTCAAATGCTTTTATTAGAAAAGTAATAAAGAGATGATTCAAGAAAAATATTAGATAGAATAACTAATAAATGGAGATAACTTTAGAAATTATGATAATCAAATTTAAAATATATCTAATTTTCAATCATTCATATTAATCATACTCATTATCATTTTCAACAATATTAATCATTTTTAACTCAGGATAAAAGTTTTGTATTGGTTCAACTAAATCTTTTTAAAAATCAAAAGAATTATGTTCCATATTTTCTTATATGGATAAATATGAATTTTCTTTAATATGAGCAGGTAAACTTTAATTATAATCATTATTTACTTATTATACAATTCTTAAATTGGTCCTAAGAATGTAAGTTTATCTTTTTTCCCATGAATAAATAAACATTTGCATCTAATTTTTTAACTATTCTCTTAATTATTCATATTATTCTCATTTAATAAGAAATGAGCTTTTTATGGAATTATATCATTTACTAACTTATATAAGGTTATATAAGCAGACAAAATTATTAAACCAGCAAAATTTCTATTTGCTCCTAAATAAAATGCAGGACCAGTCCCAATCGATCTTGATAAAATAAATATAAATTACCTACCAAATACATAAATTTAATTATCATTTAGTGCAAATTTTTATTTTATATAATCGAACACTATTAAAGCATCCTTTTGTATTTACTCAGCGCTAGTAATTGTATTTTTATAGATTCCATATCCTGGATACTCAACAAGAATAAAATTGGCTTTAATATATTTTAAAAAACCTGCTACCAAATATTTAGAGTCATTTCTAAATTTATTTAAAATTAATACATATTTTCACCATTTCCATGAAAATAAATAATGTAATTATTTGTTGTCTTATCTTTATTTTCTAATAAAGAAAATGGAATTTTATTAGCTTCTTCCATTTCTACATATTGGATTGTTTTATAAAATTCAGGGTAATATTTATCACTAGAACCTGGAAAAATGATGTTAGCTATTTAAATTAACTCTTCTTCNGAATAAGAATATTATAAAATATTTTTTACTAATTGTAAAGAACAATTTTTTAAAGAAATCCAATATGAAGTTGAATTATCTGATTCTGATAGAAATAAATTAGAAGATACTTTTACAACAAAAATTATTAAATTGATTGGAGATATTTTAGATGATCTTAAAAAGAAGACATCTGAAGGAATATTGTATTAAAAATTTGTTATTGTTTTAGTTAAGATAGTTTGATTGCTATTGAATTTTTGTTGGATTAATAAATTACTCATAAAAATATTGTTAAAACAACTGATTTAGACTTTCAAATGCTTTTATTAGAAAAGTAATAAAGAGATGATTCAAGAAAAATATTAGATAGAATAACTAATAAATGGAGATAACTTTAGAAATTATGATAATCAAATTTAAAATATATCTAATTTTCAATCATTCATATTAATCATACTCATTATCATTTTCAACAATATTAATCATTTTTAACTCAGGATAAAAGTTTTGTATTGGTTCAACTAAATCTTTTTAAAAATCAAAAGAATTATGTTCCATATTTTCTTATATGGATAAATATGAATTTTCTTTAATATGAGCAGGTAAACTTTAATTATAATCATTATTTACTTATTATACAATTCTTAAATTGGTCCTAAGAATGTAAGTTTATCTTTTTTCCCATGAATAAATAAACATTTGCATCTAATTTTTTAACTATTCTCTTAATTATTCATATTATTCTCATTTAATAAGAAATGAGCTTTTTATGGAATTATATCATTTACTAACTTATATAAGGTTATATAAGCAGACAAAATTATTAAACCAGCAAAATTTCTATTTGCTCCTAAATAAAATGCAGGACCAGTCCCAATCGATCTTGATAAAATAAATATAAATTACCTACCAAATACATAAATTTAATTATCATTTAGTGCAAATTTTTATTTTATATAATCGAACACTATTAAAGCATCCTTTTGTATTTACTCAGCGCTAGTAATTGTATTTTTATAGATTCCATATCCTGGATACTCAACAAGAATAAAATTGGCTTTAATATATTTTAAAAAACCTGCTACCAAATATTTAGAGTCATTTCTAAATTTATTTAAAATTAATACATATTTTCACCATTTCCATGAAAATAAATAATGTAATTATTTGTTGTCTTATCTTTATTTTCTAATAAAGAAAATGGAATTTTATTAGCTTCTTCCATTTCTACATATTGGATTGTTTTATAAAATTCAGGGTAATATTTATCACTAGAACCTGGAAAAATGATGTTAGCTATTTAAATTAACTCTTCTTCTTTTTTATTATCAAAGTTAATTTTCTACATAAATTAATTAATTCAATAATAATAAATGAAAAATATTTTATGAAAGTGAATTAAAATAAAATCTATTAATCTAATGATACATATATAATATATTAAAATAGTATAGTATAAATATTAAGGATATATATGAAGATATTAAATAAATTAATGATATTTTTTATTTTAAATCCTATATAAACAATTTAATAATAATCTTATATCTGTAGTTTAGATATAAGATTTAGGTATTTATAAAATTAAATAAATAATAAATATTCATTTTTCTGTTAACTCTCTATATCCTTTCCAATCAGATGGAGCCTTAAAACTATATTCATTCATAACAGTTAATAATGTTGATATAGGTCCATCATTTGGCTTTATTAATCTAGCTTTTTCAAACCACATTTGAGCTTCTTTCCAATTACCCAATAAGTATCCCTAAAATCCTTGACTAAATTATGCCTTAGATATATAAAAGTATAATACTTGAAATTCAGGATTAAAATTATTCATAATTAATATAAGATCTTTATTTCTATTTAAATGATTTTCAGATTTGAATTCTCCAGCTTCTATTTAATTTACAAATATTTGTCTCTTTTAGTCCATAACTTAAAACTTTTCATTTTGAGAATAATCATCTTTACTTGAAGGAATATTATCAGCCTCAATATCAATAGTGTGAAGTCCAATAGGTCTAACACTTCCTTTAACAGTTACCATATCAATTTATCTTAAATACTTTTTAAAATCTTGAGAGAAAAGAAGATAAAGATCACTAGAAATCAAAATAGAGACTCCGTATTATTTAGTAGCAGCCTCCAATCTAGAAGCCATATTTACATTGGGACTAAGATATGATGCATCAATTTTAAATTCAGAACCAATAGCACCCTCAATTCCCCAACCTATATGCAATCCAAATCCCATCTTTACTTTGTATCCTGGCAATCTTTATGTTAATCTTGTATCTTTACGATACTCTAATATCTTAGGTTCTCTATTAATTTTAGCAAATATCTTCATAAAAGAAAATAAGGAACAATCTGCAATGATATTGATTTGTTCTAAGTTTTTCCTTAATTATAAGAACAATAATATTACCATCTAATTTTTCCATTTTCCTCATACCAAGAATGATCAGAAATTTTCCATACTAATAGAAAAGCATCTCCAATATTTTTATTAGCTGAACCTTAATATCTATTTACCATTGAATGAACTATCTCAGCTATACTATTAACAAAAACCATGACATCTTTTTATAATACTTCAGTTGCATCTGTAAAGTTTCTTATATCACAAAATCCATAAATAGCTAATTTCTTTTTGCCAGGCAACATAGGATCTACATCTCCTGATGATGCCATATTAGTTCCTATAATAGCTGATCCTGCATCTCCAAATCCTAAGGCTAACAAAGCTCCTATTTTAATTATGGCATTTTCAATTTAAGTAGTTTCTCTTTATAGCTATTCTACTTCTAATTTCATTTCTTTTGCTTCTTGAGGATTTCTAGCTATAACATTTACTTTTGCAATCATTCTTTCTATTGGAGCTAATGCCACATTTTTTGCATCATTTGCAAAGGCTAAAGCTCCAAATAATAAGACACAACTAACAAATAATGTATTAACAATGTTTATAATTGAATTTAATTTCTCTACCTATGAATTATCAGATACAAATAAAATTATTGGATCTCCTATGTAATCTAATCCTACTAATATTGGATTAACATATTTAAAATAATAACTTTTTGCACTTTCTCTTAAATATTCATAATTATCCCTTTGGTAATCTGGTATATCTATGAATGGATTTCTTATGAATCCTACAGGTGTATCAAATTAATCATGTTGACTTATTACAAAATTCAATGTTTCATTTATTTCAGATAATCTTGTATTTGGTATTTCAGCTACAACTTTAAAATATTATGCTGCATATTCTAAACTTAATGATTATTCAAAATAATAATCTGAACTAAATAAAGGCATAATTAATAGTAACAATATTACTAATAAAATTACTTTTTTAGTTGTTGCATCAGATAATCTTTTACTAACTCTAGATTCCTTCTTCTATTTTTATTCTTTATGTTCTTTTTCCTATATTTTACCTGCAATATCATCAATTTGTTATTACTATTAATGATAATAACTTTCAGGTAAAATTTATTTTTAACTACGTCGCTATTCATAACTATTGCCTTAATCATAACCATCAATAACACTTGTCATATTGTTAAGTTAATCTTTTGATTATACTGTGTGTCCATTAATTGTATTAAAGTGTGGAATCTCCCTTAATTAATCTTAAAGTGGTATATCTCTATTCTCATTTTATAATGGATATATTTGTGTTTAATTTGGATTTTTAATAATAATATTAGAATTTAACTTAGTGTTACTTCTTTGAAAACTTACTACATTCTAATAATTTGCTGCCTTATACAATTTCACAATTCTAATTAATCTTACTAATCTAACAACTCGTACTGCTTTCGAACTTGTTTTTGAAGCTTTATTTGCTTACTATAAATCAGATCCTGTTTTAGCTGATACTGAACCTCTACTGTTTAATATATAAATTTACTCTAAACCTACAGCTATATTAAATAACGTTATATCAAGGATCTAAGAAACTGTAGAAATTATATCAAGCCAAAAAAAAAAAGAATTAAAATAATCCTTTCTTACTATTGATGTGATAACAATTTCAGTAGAAAATATAATCTAAATTTTTATTATTCTAATATTTACTATGCAAAATATTGTTATCCCATCAAAAACAATATCTGCTCTTTTATCAAAACATATTATTCTGATATCATCTCCATATAAGGCATAAATTGTCAATAAATTAACTAACAATTAGCTTATCACATTTTCTAATAACCTAACTAGCATCGGATATTTCTCTCTATTATTCAATCATAAATCATTACTTTTCTTCCTAATAATGAAAAACATCTAATTCCTCATCACTAGACTATTCTGAAACTTCCTATTATTCTTCGTTGTTATTATGACCTTATATATGTAAATCTGTCATATAAATTTAATTATTTTTTTTGTTCTGCTATTTAAACTCATTAATTTTATATATTTATTTTTCATATTTAAGTTTTTTACCTATTTTTATCTCATCATTCTTACTGTAATTTATTATAATTGATAATTAATACTTAAGAAATATCTATGGCATACATAAAATTTACTCTTTGAATATATATTTTGTTATTTTTATTAACAATTTTAATAAAATTTAATTAGATTCAAATATAATTAGTTTCATCATATGAGTGTTTCAAGAAAACTTAATTTATTTATAAATATAATCATTTGATACTTAAAGCAATTAAGTAATATAACAATATAAAATTATTATTAAAAGTAATTAAATAGCAACATTAAAGTAGCTAGATCAGTCTATAAATAGATAAAATTCAATTTTATTTTTTGTGTTTAGTTTGTTTCTTTACATATTCTTAATCATTTTATAGGTCATCCTTTATGTAGCGCAATTTTTTATAATATCTATTTTTTATCATATTCATAGTTTTGCCAGGAAATGATTTTACTATCTTATTAAAGTTAGGACCAACTTATTATACTAATTCTAATATTCGTTTATCCTCTTAAAATGTGAATCTAAAATGCAATAGTTTATATTGTTCATTAATACCTTTAATCATTAATTCTCCTTTTAACATTTTATGATTTAAATTAATCATCTTCATCAGGTTATTAATTTTAGATTAATGAGTTTACTAAATGTTCTAATGATTCATCATTTTATACAAATAATGATTATCTTATAAAATAAAAATATTTTCTTTTACTTTTCTGATTAATCATTCTACTCATCATTCATTGGCTATTTAATGTATATTTCATCATTCATTATTTTTTATATTTTATTTTATAAGATTCTTCAATAATTGATCATTATATAATTCAAATAATTTCTCATTATAAATTTAGTATAAATTTTTGAGATGAATTCATAATCAATATTATTAATATTTTTAATTTGTATAAAATTTAGAAATTAATATTAAATAATTAAATA